TAAATATTATTTTTAATTTATATTAAAAATAAAAATTAATTAATTAATATTAATTTATATATATATATATGATAATAAGGTATAGTTAAGGGACTTGGCTTTGTGGCTCAATGACACTGACCATTGAAAAAGTGTATATCCTCTTCTTTTATCAGTTTCGAACTTGGTCTATGACAAAAAAAAAAAGTATAGTTAAGATATAGGTTAAAAAAATCCAACAACAAAAATGCTTAGGGGCCGTGGGCCATAGTATTGCCGACACAAAGATAGCCCGATGGGGTTAATTTGCCAAGACCCATGGGCTTTTGGCCCTTTTTTTTCTTTTGTTGCATTAGGAGTTGGGCTTGGAGAAGGAGTTTAAACCCCTAACTTAAAACAAATGAAGATTATTTAATGTACGGACAAATAGAGTATTTTTAAATTTAAAAAAAATTAAAAATTGATATTATTAATTAAAAATAATAAATTTAATATTTTTAAATAAAAAATATAAAATTAACATCTTTATTTTTTTTTAAACAACAGTTTACTTCTACTATATATCTTAATTTATGGTTTGAAATTTTTAATAATTCTTTTAAATATAAAGTTAGAATTGGATCGATCTAGTTTTCTAGTTAAATCGTATGTTTTATTAATATTAATTTTGGAACCGTCTTAATTTTTATTTTTATTTTTTAAATATAATACAGAAAAGAGGGATGAAAAACACTTTTACAAGCACTTAGTATTTAGAGGAAACGGGCATTGCCAACAGTATTGCAAACCGAAACCTTATAAAAGTCGAAAACTTGTGGCTGTAAAGAAAGAGATATTGACTTTGTATTTGGTCTTGCAATGGATGAAACATTCGGGAGTGAAAGGGAAATATGTTGGAATAAATCAATGTATGACATATCTTGTGAAACAATATTTCCTCCCTTGGACCCGAACAGGAATTCAGCATATATTAATGGTTTTGATTGATATTCTATGATAGGTTCCTCTCTTCTTCTTTTTTTTTGACAAACACAATAATTAATAGATTAATTTTTATTAAATGTTAATAATTAAAGGCTCAGTATCTAAATTTAATAAATATCCCACCTTTCATAATGAGACGTGCGACTCATCGAACTATATTATGGGTTCGATAGTTTCCTCTTATTTATCCAATACAATACGGCAAGATTCTGATATTTATTCAAAGTCAACAATCAAAATTCTAGATTCCATTGGAAGTACCTAGAACCATTCAGGCTTTTCCATGATAAATATCTTCCAAAAGAGAGAAAAAAAAAAAAAGATTCTGTTTTCACATCAAAGAAGAATAATATAAGTAATATCAAAATGCATATAATAAATGAATTTTTTGTTTTATAATTTAAATTATATTAAATTATTGTCTAGAATACAAAACAAGAACTATTAAATAAAGAGCAGCTCTTAATAATGTAAAATCCACCTTTACCCAATGGTTTATGTTGTCTAGTTCAATATAATTTGTATTGTATAATACTTCTTTGATAATATATATATGTATTTAATCATTAGTAGAGATATATTTATAGATAAATCTTACACATCACATTTACATAAAATTTTTACTATAATAAATCTCAATCATTAAAAATAAAAAAAAATAAATAATCAAAATTTTAAATAAATGTAATGTATAAACTTATAAATAAATACATCTCTCATCTTTAATCACATATGATACTACAAAATAGTAGAATTAATTTTTTTTATCAGCAAAATAGTAGAATTAATTAATGTAAATGAATTAAGACATGGTGTGCAACATCATGTTTCTGAATTCTTCAAAATCCAGCACGCCATCAAGATTTGTATCGTACACGCAAATCATTGTTCTACAATCTTTCCCGCTACATTCATCCCACAATCCTAGTTTTCCCAGCACGCTCTGCAACTCCTCCGACGAAATGACTCCATCTCCGTTCAAATCAAACACCTTAAACGCCTTCACAAGATCACTTTCTGCGCCTTCTTCCTCATTATTATTCATTATGGTATCGTGGAAGAACAAGAATTCATCGAAGCTTAGGCTCGGCTTCCCCACTAGAGACTCCAGTTCTTCCAGGCTAAACTGGACCCCAATTCTCTCCGGGAGGCAGCTAAGCTCCTCCAAGCTTACCATGCCATCCCCATTCCTGTCTAGCTCCTCGAAAATCCGGTGCAAATCGTTCCTACTCAGGGCAGACATAGATATTTTTGCTTATATAGGCTGTGTATCAATGACTATATATAAATATGTTGAAATGTATTGTTGTTGCCGAAGTAACTACTGCATTGATCGTGAGTTTATGTGTGCATCTATATATAGAGGAAATCATGTGTACTGCATACCACAGATGTTGTATTTGGTTGAAACATATTTTCCACGAAGCTACCAAGAAGTTTCCTAGCTAGAAAATTATTAACGCCAACGTGAGCTGATTTTTCCTTCCTTTCTTGAAGAGTTTATAAACTTGTGGTCCAAAATTTTTTCCTTCCAATTTTAGTAAGTGTCCCCAATCTCTATCTTTGTGAGATAATAGCAGTTGAAATCGAAAAAGATAAGTGTAATGAAGGGAAGAAAAAAAAAATGCTTTCAAATTATATTAATGTAATTACGTGTATTAAATAAACTAAGCAGGTCTAATTTAAAATGACAATATTTGTGGTAACGTGTACCATGAAAATAAATTTATGAATATGTAAAAATAGGCAAGGAAGGAATAAAGTTTTGAGGATGAAATGCATATGCGACGAAGAGTGCAGACGTAGGTACAGCCGAAACAGAAGCACGGAGAATCTTCAGCCTTTTGTTCTTTACTCTAAGAGGATAGAGGTCTCTCCTTTGGTTAAATATATGCAGAAATCAAATTCCTTGTAGATAGGCCATTTGTGAAGTCCTTTGCCTCTCTTTTTTTTTTTTGGTTATTTTTTAGATGGTCAAAGTGTTTTAGGTAATTTCTTTTCAAATAACCTTAAGAGTGCACATTCCGGTGAAATCCTTTGCCTCTTAGTGCAATTGCATAATTTTTTTTTTTTTTGGGTAATAAGAGAATTTGCATAATTGAACTATTGATTCATTACTATTAAAAATGAATTTTAAGCACTTATTTTTTTTATATGTAAAACTTAAGAATAAAATTTAAATTACTAAAAATAAAAGTAATTCTATCACTAAATTGTCGATTAAAGGAAAAAAAAAAAACCCCTCTGTTATCACACCATATGACTGATGATTTGTGTTGAGCTTTTCTCAATAGCAGGCAGTATCTTAAGGGTGAGGGCGAGAAAGTTAATTTAAAACATCTACCAATATTTGATGGTAACAAAATTCGTTTAAAACAATCAAATCATTAGCCGGTGCCACTTTAAGGCTCATCCAACTAACTGTGAAATAATACAAGTTACAAGATGACCAAAGAGGCTTATTGGTTTGTACCCAAAAAAAAAAAAAAAAAAGGAAGAAGGCTTATTATTAGCACTAACATAACCAGAGGGAAATTATTCAAAAAAGAAAAAGAAAATTCAAAAAAAAAAAAAGGAGGTTAGAATCTTTCTTGCACAAGTTCACCTTCATGGCTTCAAGGTGAACTTGCCAGGTTCATTGTAGATTTTCTCCAGCTGCTGTATTTTGTTGATTCTGAAACCCCTGATTCTTAGTTCTTCAGGTATGGAAGCATCTTTGTAGTCTACGTTCTCAAGGACCCAACCCTTGTTTTGCACCGATCCTCCTACTTTCACCTACGCATAAGCAAATATCATCAGAAACTCAAAACAATTGTTGGCCTGCCGGTTGGAATCTTCAGATAAGAAAAAAACTGACTTCCACATCTACACGGCATACCTCTGCATCGTCAACAGAGTTGACGACAAGAGATCCATCCAAGGACAGATCTTCGAGAAAGATGTTTCGGCCCTGAATGACCATGGTAGACTTTTGAGAGATGGCGCTAGCTCCACTGACTTTGCTTTTGATCTCAGCAAAAGTCAGCCCCCATTTTGGCTTCCATGTAATTCGTGGCCAGACTTCCACGTCTTGACCATTGAACACCTGTTGTACTGGATCACCCACTTTGACACCGGCCTGGTAAACAGACAAAATTAGATACCGTATATCATTTAAATGGCAAAACAGGGGGGGAGAAATAGTTCAATGCTTGTAGTTTACAAATATATAAAATAATCACCTTCCTTAGGATAAGGCTGTTTGCACGATATATAGCGAATTCTCCAGAAGTTGCACTGTGGTATGGATTCCCCTTTGGTACCTTCATTGAAGACAAGTGAATATTAATTGAATAGAATAAAACTGATATTCAATATGAAGTTTTATCCAATAACATATCAACATTAATGAAGAAGATGCAGATCATGGCAATCCAAATAAGAGCCCCATTGCTAAAAAATATACACAGCTCAATGATGGCTTGAGGTAGGATTATATACAACATAATGGATGCATGGTTGATTCATCAGTTCAAGGGGAAAGAAAGAAAAACCTAATGCTTCTAACAGAAAGTTCACCATTGTAGTCCCAGGAAAAATTGACAATAATACTAAACCTAATGGATTAAAATATTTTTCATATAATATAGAAGGCCCGTAAGGCTAGTATATACATTTGGCTACATTCCAGATATATAAACTATATAGTGCATAAACTGGATTTTACCATCCACTTACAAATAAATTTTTTCAATTGCATCATATTTGTTGGAAAGAAAAAGGAAGATTCTAAAAGGAACTAAGATATTCACTTACCTTTGCAGCCTCCTCGGGGTTATTCTTCACCGGTGCATAGGCAATCCATGCATCCATCACCTAAGCAATAGCAAAATAGCTGGTTTAGTGAAGGGTAAATTGACTACATTATTAATAACAATTTCGCTCGCAGAACCACCAGAGAAGACTTTTTATATTGACTGAACAAAGATGGCAAGTTCTACATGACCATGAGGCTATAGTCCTAGCTCTAGGGAGAACTAGCTCCTGAACAATAGATTACCGTAAATCCAACCCTTGCTGATGGGGGCAATGTTTTAGGATAATCTTGCATCATACACTCTAGTCGAGTTGAAGACTTAAATGATGTTTTGCTAGCATCTTTATACCTGCAGTACGATGGAAAATAGAGATGATATGGTCAGGACTCCCCTTTCTCTGTCTCTGCATTAGGAACTACCATAAAAGATGCAGAGTTAATACAAATTTTTTCTATGTAAACAGTTGGATCTGTTATACAAAACAGTTGAAAGATTTTCAAAACATGCCTAGGAACTCTTTAGAATCTAGTTCTTTCAGTTTCCGTGAATGCATCAATAGCATGAGCTTAGTGCTTCCCTTTCAGAACAGCTTCTGTATGTCCAAGAGGATGAGAAATTTAAGAAAATACATTTAATGTTTGCAGACCATACCCAGCCATGGAAATATGAATTTTTAATGTAAAAACATGTCTGATCACATTTATTTTACTTGTCACTGCACTTTCCCTTTTCCAAAAATTGAACAAAATGCCTATTGCTAAGACTACTTCACATGCACATAATAATATTCTGAAAACAAAAAAAAAAAAACAAAAACAACAACAACAACTAAACTTATAATGCTTTGAAGGTTATAAAAAGAATTACTCTGAGGAAAAGAACTTTAATTTCTATGAAATCTAGGTAGATGCCCTTTTTTTTATTGGCAAAGAAGATAGTCTTAGCTATTGCAGAGGTTTGAACTCAACCCATGACCTTTAACCCAGAATTAAGATTTTTAAGTTATAGTATATACCAGCCCAATCAAGATCTTGTTGGTAATCTAGGAAGAGCAATTAAAGATTGTCAAACCTCAAACACTAGGAAAAAAAAAAAAACACAAACAAACAAACCCAAGAACTTACATAAAAACTAGCAAGAAATAAAAAGAAGATAATTACTTAGGGTTAACAAATTCCTTTATGGCACCTCCTGTTTTACCCAGCTCCTCAATGTAAGAACCAAGTTCCAGAATCAGCTGCAAAATAAAAACCATAAAGGAAAAAAGGAGACAGGTGAAGAAGACAGACCGAGAATTGATAGTTCAATAATTATAATGAACCATTGCCAAGTAAAACTCATATCAAACTTATCAAATAAATCTATAAGTGCTTGTATACTTATTACTAATATCAGATGTCTCAAAATATAAATAAGGGGTAGACAATGATTTTGAACTGGAAAATTACTTGGTTTATGTTTCCAGGGAAAGGAGAATAGCCTGTCTCACAATTAACGTCTCCATCAGGAAACCCACTGGCTCTAAGCAGGGGATCAAGCTGATTGTATTCCACATTGATCACCATTGACCTCCCTGAAGTTAAATCCATTGTGTCATTAACTAAGAATGAAGCACAAGGCATCATGCTGTCATGTTATCAACATAATGCAATCAAAGAGCAAACATAATTATGCATAGTCGTATACAATCAAAATGTTTCAAAACAAGAAGAGCAAATAACAAACTAAAAGAAACAAAAAGGAAAGAGAGAAAAGAAAAGAGCTGCAAGGTAGCCCTCTTTGTTCTAAGATCAAACACTCTAGAAATAACTTTCCAAGCAACAAGTTATGTGAGCAGCTGTAATAAATAAAATAAGATGAATATCATCATAAAGAATATTCTTGTGCATAAAAAATTTCAAATATAAATACCATCAGCATGAGTGAGTTTGGTAATTCCTCCAATAGCTTCTTTTGCTTTGCGTTGAACAGCAAGAGAGTTGACATGGTATTGTTTGGTAGCACTGACACCTAGAGCAGCTGGAATTGCCTGTTCCAAGGCAAAGAAAAGAAGCAAATTACAATTTTATAACCAATTATCCCTTATAAATGATAGGAGAAATCAACTTTCTAGCAACTAACCTTGAATAGAAGTCCATTTGTATCTTGGAAAAAAAGAACCCATCTCACACCAGCATCACGCCTGAGAAAGGATCATGAAGACTAAAATATTTTACACAAGAAAATCTATCCATCATTACAAATTTCATAAGGGTAATTTCAACCTTCATACAGATTCTGACTGTTGCAGTTATTATTCAACCATTTAAGCAAAAGGGAAGTTAAAGAAAGATGGCATAAGGGTATATTACTTGTTGTGACTAGCTCACTCACACATGTAATCCTATTAAGGGCCTGTTTGGATCAGTTCCTAGGAGCTTCAGCTTTTAGACACTATTCATGTTTCATAAATTTAAATTTCCCTCTTAAAAGCTTACACTTTTAAATATTTTTTAACCTTAAAAAGCTCTTAAACAGTAAAAGCTCAAAAGTTTCAAATCCAAACTTTTCATAAACTCCTTTTTTACTTACTTTTCACTCACTTTTTCATATCTCTAAAAGCAAAAGCTCAATTTTCCCTCCAATAAAAATTTAAATTTATCACTCATAACAGTACTCAAAAAGCAAAAGCTCTCACAAGCCACACCAAACAGGCTCTAAGACATCCAATGACAATTACCAAATTCCATGATTAACAAAATGCCGTTGTGTAAGCATAAATAAGAATTGCCAAGAAATTAAAGAAACCAGATTCTACAAATTTGATAAGTTGGCCAAAAAATACAAATTTGATAAGAATTTGAGATATACCACTCATTCAGAATGCCACTAGAATAAAGAAGTGAGTGCACGTCGCCATGGCCATGAGGTTTCGTCTATCAAAACCAAAAATTATGTAAAGAGAAAGATCTCATAAGTCAGAAGTGCATTCAGTTGCATCACAAAGCAGCTCTGCTGCTTACCTGAATCCTGTATTTGTTATGGGGGTCCATAGCAAGTCTGGCATCGTTATCATCTAAGCATGCAACTTTTTCCTGAAATAAAGAGTAAATCTGAAACTTAACAAAAAGCAACTTCACACCTTTCAAGTTAATAAAACAACTATCAATTACATACCTGCTTAAGGAGTTTTACTTGGGTAGGCTTCATTCCAAAATAAGAATTTGATTCTAAAAGGTTGGTTGTACGGGCATGTGTGTCATCTGATGTCATAATAACAAAGGGAATCTCCTTTTGATGTTCACCTAAAATTTTGAAAAAGAAACAAATTACCTAAAGAGAAAATAAAGGGGCTAAAAATGTTGTTTAATGTCATGATCATTTTAACGTTTTACAGTTATCTACCCCTTGGTTAATTAAGCCAGCAAATAGATTTACAAAACTAAGATGAACTATCTAATTCTATGATTCTCATTTCTGACAAAAAGGGTTGCACCAGTAATTGATGGAAAAAATGGAAATTTAATTATCTTGAAAACCTAAAGATTCAGCAAATTACAAGTGAAAGAGCATTATGTGATAAACCTTTCGTTAATCTATAGCTAGCTTCCTGAAGGGCCAGAATACACTCAATGTAGTGCTGTAAGAAACATGTTCCAGTTGTGGTCTCTGCAGGAAGTGCCACCTGCAAGACATAAAGGTTACTTGTTAAAAATGTTGGAAGTGGTGTGCCTGCAAAGCAATCTTCCCTATCAAAAAGAAGTCAGTTTTAAAGAAAATAATTGTTATATCCATTGTCTAGGAAAGATGACCATACGAGTCCAGGTTTGAGATCCCTAATAACCCATCTTTGACAGAACCTTATCAAGGGTATAGCTGTATTCACTATGTCATTTGTTATTAAATGGCCATTGACCAAACATGCTCAACACCAACTACTGTGTTAAAGAGCAATTCCAAAAAATCAGAGCAGCTAAATTGCAGTTCAAAAAATATTTCTTAATCATGCACCAAAGCTGGTGAAAATAGGTGGCCTAGATTCCATATGTATGCATGACTATTCAATAAAGATAAAGATGATAAAAATAAAAAAAAATAAAAAGTTGGAGTAGCCAAGTCCAATAAGTCATACATATTAAGCTGAAAAAAATAAAAAAATAAAATATAAAAACAGAGAATTACACATACTGGGATGCACTGCACTAATAAATGTGCAGATAGATGGACTATATACCTTAATGCCATTATATCCAAGGCGCTCCCCGAGCCCACCCGCAACAAGACCAAATGCAGCATTCTGAGCTTCCTTAATCCCTGTCTCCTCAAATTTGATGAAATTATCATCACCGAATGTCAGAACCTCTCCTGTTGGAACCTGCAGATTTATTACCCAATGCTTTAATTGTTTGTTCTCAATTGCACAAACTGTCAAGATCAAGGATTCTCACTAAAATTTGAACAGAATGAATATTTATATTTATTTATCACTTCAAGTTAGTAATTTCCAAATATCTAGATTTATATTTGCACATGCTTGTTCCTAAGCAAATGGTTAGCTGTTTACAAAGATGAGAAGATGGCACTGAAAAAATTATCTTCATGTTGAAATTGAATCGAAATCACTCATGTAAAAGTAAGAAGCTTGAGTATATCATAAAAGTCCAAATGAAACCCAAGAATTATTAAAAAAATTAAATATATATTTACTTACAGATGGTTTAAAGCCATCATACGGGTTCTTCCCTGCTTTTGAATCTGCCAAGAGTTCTCTAGCATTTCTAATATATGACACCAAAGCCGCAGGGTAGCTTGAATTTAGCTTAGCCACCTGAAAGAAACAACAAAAAGAGATAAAGGTCTTAGTAAATAACAAATGCTTATTTCAACCGTATTCAATCAAATCATCAATTAAAAGGGTAAGACATAATGGATAGACATTTATTCTTGTAGTCAAACTTTATTCACCCAAACAATTAGAGAAAAAAATTTTCATACAGTACCCTTCTATTACCACTCTCTCCAGCTTAAATTATATTGAATGGAATTTCCTGCCTTCATAAATTCCAGTGGAGAGAGGAATCAATCACTAAAGTGATTGGAAGGAAAAAAATGCAATTATCTCTCAAACAAAAACACCATTTCCAAAATTCCAGTGCAGAGATCCACCATAAAGGAATTTATCTCAACTAAAAAGATAAAAAAGAAATTCATCATAAAATTTGAATCAAACCTGAGCCAAAAAGGCCTTCTTCTCCTCGTCGTCAACACCAGGCTCCGGCCAATGCTCAAACAAATGACTCTGTCCCATCTCCAGCAACATCTTCGCCAATTCAATCTGCCACAACCAACACCACTCAGTCACACGCGCACAAAAACGATATTTACGCTCAGTTACATAGCTATTCACTTTCACACACTACCTGATCTGGAGAGAAGAGGTGAAGATTTTTCTTCAGATTAGGAGCAGAATTAGCGAAATCGGCATTGATGTTGAGCTTGGAGAGATTCTCCGCGGTAGATTCGACGCCGGTCGCCATTGTCGCTCTGAGAAGAGATGATGCGGTGCTGCAGAGGCAGAATTGATGAACGGAATACAAAAAGAAAGCGGAAAAGAAGTGCACGCCAAATGTCACGTAAAATCCCAAACTTTACCGGTAATGCGGAATGGAACTTAATCATGTGAATCCTGAGAGAGAGAATGTGTTTGTTTTCTAGAACGGGGACCGATCACCGGAACTGACCGATTAGCGCCCGTTAGTTATTAGGACCCACTTTTCTTTTTTTGTGGTCCGGCTCTAGCCTATGGACCTAACCTGAAAACTCATGTTCCCCTTTCCCATTTTTTTCTTTCCACTATTGTTTAAGGCAAAAATATGACATAAGGACCCAAACTTACATAAAATTTGCAATTTTGGACCCAAACTTCAACTGCACTCAACTAAGGTTTTGAACTCCACGAAATTCTCAAATAAAGTCCCAATTGGACAGAAAACTAACTTCTGTCAAATCTCCTACAAACACCGTTAATGTCGTCACACTCCACCCAATGGTAACACAACTAGAAAAAAATTATGTTGACATGTCAATTAGTTTTGCCATGTAGATATGCCATGTAGATATGAATTTTTAACTCCACAAACAACTGGAACTCATTGGTGGGCTTTTTGGTCTTTCTAACCAAGGATTCTCACGAAATAGAAGTTAGTTCTTCATTCTTCATTCTCAAAACACAAGCAAATCTGGAAAATTTCTCATCATTCATTCTTACCTCCTTGCAATTTCCTACCAATCTTTTGTGGGAGTAGAAGAGATTGAAGACGAATATGGAGACGATTTTGCACCAGCTTTATGACCTATTCAAGGCTAGATTAAGCTAATAGGGATGGAACACGTGCTTTTACGTAAGTGAGAGGATAAAGAACTC